CTTGACAATGGAGATGAACAAATGGCTAGTGAGTACCTGCACTGTGCTAGAACCTTCATGGGGTAAGCTCCATTGCCTCTCACCTGGAAATCCAACATAGGTGGCTTGTGATTTTGGGGAGCTGAGCATCAGTAGCATATTTTGTGTCACCTTAATTTATTTTGTGTCTGTTATCTATTATATTATGATATAAATAACTCTTGGCAACTTTTACTTGAGAGATACCTCTTTCTGCCAATCTGTCTTCCCTTTGTCCTTGATGTTGTATCATTATTATTGTGGGTAAAAAGAAGCATAATATTATGTTACAGCTTATAATGGCGACCTCTGGAGAAGGCAGCCACCCCAGTGGCACAGCAACACCCAGACCACTGGCACAGCTGCAGGAGCTCGAACCGCGGGTAGCCCGCAGACGCCTGTCCCAGGCCCGCCATAGGGCCACCCTGGCAGGGCTCTTCACCAACCTAAGGAAGACTGTTTACTCCCAGTCTGAGCTCACAGCCTCGAAGGTACGGGGACCTCAGTGTGGGGCCTGGCCCTGCCACCCTTGGTGCACAAGACTGAGGGCTGGGCCTCCATGTGGTCGGTGATCTTCGGTGGATGCTTTGGGGCTATACCTGCTGTGAGAGATGGGCCTCTTCTATCTGCAGCAGACCAGCCTGGCATAAGTAAAGTAATTATGGGCCCGAGGAGGGACCTAGTTTGCCAGCCCCTTCTGTGCCTGTCCACTCAACAGGCAGTGGCCTTTAGCACATGCTCAGGCACCCTGTACATCTACCCAAACACATACACCTGTGTGCACACACAACACCACACACACGTGCATACACCATAGACATACATGCATGCATGCATCATACCATTAGCACACACATACACATGGTCACACGCCACACATGCGCGCACACCCCCAGTTTATATGCATCATCCAGGTCTTTCTCCCAGGCAACAGGGCTCTCCAGGTAAGTATTTATCTTTTCCTGTTCTTAATTCTGCTTTTGTCCTCAAACAGCTTTTTAATTGCTAACTAGCAATCAATAAATCAATTATCTAGCAGAGCATGGAGGTCCAAGTATATTGGGGTGGTGGAAGGAATGGAGTAGTCATAATGGTAGAAGCATTATAGATGGTCAGAGTGGAGGAGTCCCTCAAGAGGTGCAGTTCCCCACCCCCTTTTAGTAAAGGAAAAATCCTTTAAGTAAAGGAGTTGAGCAAGGACTTACTAGCTGGTTGACAGTAGGGTCAGAAAGAGTCCTCGTTCCTACTCCAGGCCTGGCCCTCTCCCCACCCTCTACCTCTCTGACTTATCTTGTTGTCCTGTGTCTGTTCCCGACCCTGGGGGGTGAGGTTCCATTCTTGGGCTGATGCCTTCAGCAAAGCAGCATCCACAAGCTTCATGTTTTCTGTTCATGGCGCTGGCAGAGGCTTCTCATTGGGTACAGACATATGAAGAGCTCCTGAGCAGGCACAGGCCAGGACTTGGTGGAAATTTAAAAAGGTGCCCTGAGCACCTTGGTGCAGATTTTCAGTACGACTCTATTATATAATAATTAGCTGAATTCCAACACAGACCCCACCTGATCTTGTAGGATGGAGGGAGGACTGTTCTTCCCCTCTCTGCTAAGTTGGGCTCAGGATCCAGTAGGAAGATGGCACATCTGGGCCTTTCTGTCAAGAACCTGACCAGCATAGCTGTGCTTCATGTCCATTGGATGAAGAGACATTTGCCTTGTGCTTCCAGAGGTGCATGAAAACCTAAGTTCCTGACATAGGTCCATGGGTATGTGCACATAGGTAGGCAGCAGAACCAAAGAAAAAAATAGACCTTCAGAGCCTCACAGTAAGAAGTCAAGTAAATCCAGAGGAAAACCACATCCATACCCCTAAAATTTGTGCCACGTGACTTAGCATGTGAGAGCATGGCTATTAACTGTCCTCAGTGATGGGAGGCAGGTGACTTCTGGCCTTCAGTCAACATGTCCATTAAATAGGGAGTATAGTAATGGCTGCCACACTGGCCTAGAATAGAGTTTAATGGGATACTCCAACATAGCATGGTTCTTAGAGAGTTAAAATATTAGAATCATTATTTCCCAATATATTATCTTATTTATCCCCCACAGCTCTATTCCTATCATTCTCATTGTACGGGTCAGGAAACTGAGGCTTCAGAAGATTAAATTACTGGCATTAAATGATGCAGCCAGGAAAATATCTGGAACTCAGCTGTTTTCTGAATTCTTCTTTCTCTATCCTACTTGAGGGAAGGCCCAGGATTGTGCATGAATAAGGGAGTTGTTGTTTTATAAGACTAATGGTGTAACAAGGTCTCATGAGTCCTCTAGGGCTGCCATAACAAAATATCATAAACTGGGCAGCTTAAAACAACAGAAATTTATTGACTATGGCTCTCAATGCTGGAAGTCCAAGGTCAAGGTTTCATGCCCATGCGCCCTCTGAAGGCTCTAGGGGAGAACCTTTTTACCTCTGCTAGCCTCTGGCACTTGACAGCAGTGCTTGGCTTGCAGGAGCATCATTCTGACCACATGGCCACATTCCCCCAGTAACTTCACACCATCTTCCCTCTCTGGGTGTCTATCTCTTTGTCCACATTTTTCCTGTTTGTAAGGACATGGGTCATACTGAATTGGGGCCCAATCTAAGGACTTCATTTTAACTTGGTTACTCTATAAAGTCTCTGTTTCCAAATAAGGTCACATGTATAAGTTTCAGGAGTTAGGACTTCAACATCTTTCTTGGGGTGGGAGGACAGAAATCCACCCAAAACAAAGGTCCTACAAAAATTATCACTCCCAAAACATTTGAGAAACAGAATTTCTATGAATGGCACCTGGTTTCCCTGGATTGGTTTGATGCAGTAAGGGTGCAAGCAGGCCTGAGTTGTCCTGCTGAGCCAGTGTGGGCAACTCATCCTGGACCAGAGGAATAGTGTTGGAGTCCATTCAGGCTGCTATAGAAAAATACCTTAGACCGAATAATTTATTAACAGAAATTTACTGCTCACAGTTCTGGAGATTGGAATTTCTGCAATCCAGACACCAACAGATTCAGTGTCTGAAGAGGGCCAGCTCTCTGGCTCACAGGTAGCACCTTGTTAATGACACCTCACATGGCAAAAACAGCAAGTAAACTTCCTCAGGCCTCTTTTATTAGGGCACTAATCCAAATAGGGCCTCTACTGTAAAGCACCTCCCCAAGGAAGGACTGTAGGAAGGTGAAATACTGGGGAGTGATATTGGCCAAATTATATTAATGTATTATGTGCATGAACAAATACATTAACAGTGAATCCTACCATTATGTATAATGTATTATGCATTATAATACATAATATAATTGTGTATTATAATGTATAATACATTATGTATACTTAAACACACCAATAAAAATAGGGAAAAGAAAGAAAGAAAGGAAAAGAAAGAAAGCACCTTCCTGAAGACCCCATCTCCTATTACCCTCACATGGGGGGGGCAGGTTTCCAACATATGTGTTCGGGGGAACATAAACATTTAAACCAGAGAAGCTGGGGAATCACCTTCTCACCCTAAGAACAAACCCAAGATTCTGGCCCCTCGTTTTGAGTCCTTGCTGCTTTGACACCATAGCCATGTCAGACTAGGACAACAGTGGATAGGAAGAAGGGGTGGGCCTTGCTCAAGAGGTGTTCAGAGGTTTTGTAATTAACTGTACTCTCACATAGGTGTCGTTCCTGTCACCTGGTCTTTGGGTCAGCAAAGCATCATGCTTCCAGCTCCCCTTAAGTCTCTTTTTATGCACCATCAGAATCCCCAAGAATCTAGAATGACAAAACCCAGGCTGCCACCCCCTAGCTTCTGTAGCTTCCTCTCCCACTGCCCACCCCAACTCTGGCCACATCTCACTGTGGCTGTGCCCTGAGCAAGGCTGGCCTGGCCTGCCTCTGTCTTTACTCACACAGTTATTTGTGCCTTTGAGACTGTGTTCTCTCCAGAGCTCTGTCTGGCTCACTCTGCTGCCTTGTTCCATGGAAGCTTTCCCCCTGCAGTCAGAATATTCTCTCCTTCCTATGTATTTCCACAGCCCTTTGCTTCTACCCCTGGTTAGCTCTTAATTTCATCTTGTGTTAAGGAGAGCTGTTGCCATGCTTGTCTTCCCTGTTAGAATATCAGCACCTTGATGAGGGGACCATCTTGTTGACCCTGTATTCCTGGGGCCCAGCACACAGCTTTGGGCTTATGCATACCTGAGGGAGGCCATGACCCATGGCAGATGTGGGTGCTCAGCCTCACAAACGACACTTAGGGTTTCTTGCTTTTGAATGGTCTTGCAGTTTCTATTTTAACACACAGGAAAGAAGGAAGGAAGGAAGGAAGGAAGGAAGGAAGGAAGAAAGGAAGGAAGGAAGGAAGGAGATGAGGAGGGAGGAGAGGTTGGATAGAAAGAGGGACAAAAGAAAGAAAGCATGGAGGGAGAGAAGGAAGGGGAAGGGGAAATGCAAAGTTCAAGTTCATAGAGCAAGTTTTTAGATCATCTGGAGTGTATGCATTTAGTGAACACATATTGTGAGATTAGTAATTGAATATTAACCAGCCAGTTGCACATGGTCAAAACAAAGCAGAAGTCTTGCCTGATAATTTGGACAAGGCTGGGGTTAACATTCATTTGGTGGTGCCCCCTTTGGCACCTTATCCCACCTTCTGGTAGCCTGTATAGTCACTTGCTTTCCTCAGTTTGCTGAATGCAGCTCATTTCCAAATACTTTGGTATTTCAGTGAGAACTCATTTCTAGGATACAAAGGAGATTTGTGCCTTCTGTGCACTAGAATAAATTTTCCAATCTTTTCACCATCAAGGCTAAAGATGTAACTTTGCATCTGAGACAATGAATGTGGTCTTAGGCTAGGGAAGGTGTTCCTGGGTCCACAAAACCAGTCTCTGCAGTGAAAGGCTATATTTCCAGCACTGTCTCTGTCCTCAGTGGCAGGTTCTGAATAAGGCGAAGAATCACATTCAGGAACTGGAACAAACTCTGGACAACTTGCTGAAACTGAAAGGTAACAGATCCCTCCCTGGAGAAGGCTGGCTCCATTTTTCTATTGAAAACAGAGAGATTGGGTTACACTGAGTCAATAGATATTTATTGAGGGTCACTGTGTGCCAGGCACTGTGCTTGGTTATGAAGTTGATGTCCCAGTCCCTAGGGAGCTTGCAGTGTGGCTGGACAGGCAGGCGTCACCAGACTGTGGGGGTTTGATGAATCCCCTAATGGGGTGCTGCTGAGAGCACCTGACTTCACCTTGAGAGGTCAGAGAAGTGGTCAGTACTTGTACTGAGCTGCCCTCTTGCACCCAGAAAGGGAGGTGGAAAATGGCCTCTGGACTCCCTAGTACTGAGCCTGGGAGGGTTCAGAGCTCCACCATGGAGCAGAAAGGCAGGAGAGACTTAATGCAGGTCTGACTTTCTCCTTTGTGACTCTTGCCTCAACTTCCTAATAGAATCCTTCAATCTGGAGGATGGGAATGCAAGCAGCTTAGAGGAAGTCAAGGAAGAATATGCCAGAATGTTCTCTGGAAATGACAGGTAAGATCCAGCAACCACAGGAGAATGAGAACCTGCTGTCTTGCCCTTTTGGCCTTGGAGGCTGCCTCCCAGTAGTCCACCCTCCCTCTATGTGCAAGATGGTCAGGGCTGCTGCTCACTCACAGCTGTCTATCCTGAGTTCTCCTTTATCTTAAGTGCATGCATCAATTTATTTTTACAATTATAAAAATGATTATTACAGAAAATGATTACTATAGAAATTGATTATTACAGAAAATGTAGAAAATACAGAAAGGCCTGAAAATATGAATCATCTCGCCTTTCAAAGAAAATGTTGATTTTGAGGAATATCCATCCACCTATTTTTCAAATTTTGCACATTATTTTTAGAATGATGACATCATTGTGTTCATCTTATATAGTGTATTACTACATTTCATATCTTATATATATTTCTTAAAGTCCTGAGTTAATAGCTTTATTGGAAAGTAATATGAAAATAAGGAAAATGCAAATCTTGGCCTACTTTACAAGTCTCATAGGAACCTAGGAAAAGGCACATTAAACTTGAAAGAGGTAAATAACCATCGTACACATAGGTGTCACAGATGCTGAATGAGGAATGTTATTAATAATGTCACATTTAAATTGTGAAAGACTGATTTGAGAAATGTCTTTCTTGTACTTTTTTTATGTCAGGTTTTGTACTTAACTCCTGCAATTTCTGGGCTTTTCATGCATGCTGTGTGGATATATTCTCAGCACTCAAAGGATGACCTAACCCTTGTGTTCACCTGCAGCTTGCAAAGCTACTTTGTCCACAGCCTGATCATTAGGGGCAATGGCTGGGCCCCTGTCATCTCTGGTGGCTCTGGGCATGTCCAGCTCTAATGGCATGGTGTACATCCAAGTTGGCCTCTGACAAAACAGAGCTCCAAACATCTTTGCCCCCTCCCAGAAGCGGGCTGCGAACTACTTGCTATTCGGAGTCAAAAATCCTCCTGGATGAAGTGATGTGGCTTCTAGTGTTTGATGGTGTGATCACGCATGACTTTTACTGTCTTCTCAGTACTTTTTGGTGTTTTCCTAATTTTTAAACAGTGAATGTGTATTATTTCTGATGTCAAATAATCAGGGGAAACAATTATTATAAATGAAATAAAATTCACATTGTAAATGATGTGAAAATATAAAAAAATGTGTCAAGAGGAAAATAACCGCCTAAGTTTAATCTTATTTCATAGACAACTTGATCACCATTTTGTTCCCAGAGGAGAGGCAGGTGTGGTGTGTATGTGTGCATGAAGGTGGCAGTTAGGAGCCTTGTTTTAAAAATCACACTGGGCTGATGGTGTGGTGGGGCCCAGTCCAAGATTGTTTCAGTCAGGCAGAATTCTACATTGGCTTTTCCCAAATGACTAACAGTGATCCCAACCCCATTTATTATAAGTTGTCTTTTCTTTACTAAAATATGAACTTTATCATATACTAAAAATCTTAAAAGTCCTTTTATCACCTACTCATAAAAGAATAGCTAAATTATGATAATTAGGGAGGAATTTTTTGCTATAATAATTAAAACTGTGGTGCCAGCATAGAAAAGACTAATTTTATTTTGTAATTATTATATTTTAGTAATTAATTAACTAATTGATTATGAATTAACTGGAGTGCGTTTGTTCAAGATAATTTTTATTTCCATTCCTTGGAATTGTTTGTACCTATTGTTTTGTTTGTTTTCCTGCTGCACCGCCGATCTTTTTCTTATTTAATTATAGAAGTTCTTTTTACATACAGAGGAATTAGCTCTCTATGGTGAGACTTGCCAAATTTTTTCTTTTGGTCATTTGTTCTATTATTTTTCCTATTGTTTTTTGCTTTTTGTATTTGCCATGCAAAAAAAAAATGAAGTTTGATCTATCAATCTGTTATGACACCTGGGTTGTAGGGAATACTTAGAAGTCTTTCTCTATTCTGAGATTAAAAAGTTGTGTTTGTTATTGTTGTTGTTTTTTTTCTGGCAAGTTTGCTTTTTAACAGGACTTGGTTGATTGGGGAGTATTCCTATCAGTATGAAGAGAAGCTGGTTTTAAGTTCTGATTTTCCAAATTGTGTCATGTTGTTTCATGCTATTAAAAATGTATTTTTGAAAAGCAAAATTCTATAATGTTGATGAGTCCATTTTATTCTTTTCTCACACTTTGAACTTTTGATTTAAACTTAAATTTTTCATGATTTTGGTACTATTATAAATAATAATTTTTAAAATGTTAATATTCAATTGTTCATTCCTAGTATACAGAAATATATGTGTGTATATATTTTATATATATATATAAATATTTTAAAACATATATATTAATTGGCACATAGTAGTGGTACATATTTATGTGTTAGTGGGATATTTCAATACATGTATATAATGCTTAATTATCAGACCAAGGTAATTGACATTTCTATCACTTTAGACATTTATCATTTCTTTGAGCTGGGAATATTCCAAATCTTCTTTATTAGCTATTCTGAAACAATTAATTCTTGTCAGCCATAGTTATCTCTATAGAACATTAGAAAATCTTCCTCCTCTCCTGGAGCCCTATACCTGTTAACTATCCTTTCTCTATCTCCCACTTCCCCACACCCTTTCCAGGCTCTTTATTCTACTAGAAATAGTATTGATTTTTGATTATTGATCTGGCCTTCTGCAACCTTGCTAAGTTCCCTTCTGAATTCAGTCATATGTTTGTGGATTCTTGGGATTTTCCACATTGTCACATTGTGTCTGAAAATAAAGGTATTTTTATTTCCTACTTTCCAATATGTAGACCTTTTACTTTTTTCCTGCCTTATTAGACTAGCTAGTATCACTAATATGGTTTTGAATATATGTGTGTGTGTTTGTGTGTGTGTAGACACAAATATAAAAAGAGAGTTTTTATATACAAAATATTGCTATTTATATACCAAATATTGCTAAGATTTTGAGTTTCATGTCCACTGGGAATATTTGTCAGCATGTCTACAGCATTACTAACTTGTGTCTGTTTTCTTCCCCAGTCTGGTCTCAAATAGTTTTCCTCAGAATGGCTCCTCCACCTGGTGCCCAGTTGAATCAGTCAGAAAGGATGCTGAGGAAGAAGAAAATGAAGAAGAGGAAGAGGAAGACCAAGAAGAGGAGGAAGAAGAGGAAGAAGAGGAAGAAGAGGAAGAGGAGAAAAAAATTGATCTCTTACATTCCTCTGACGCTATGTCTCCAGACCTCCTGGAATTTGAACGGTGTGAACAGCTGGGTGGGGTGATGTTTGGACACACACAGAGCTCCTGTGGGGAAGGGGATAGAAACTCCAAGTGGGGTATGCTGTAGCCTCAATGCATGCTCAGACCAGCCTGAATTATGGGAGGGGCTTTCTTCTCAGTACTTTTTTGTGTTTTCCAATTTTTCAATAGTGAATGTGTATTATTTCTGATGGTAAATAATCAGGAGAAACAATTATTAAAAATGAAGTAAAATTCACATTGTAAATGATGTGAAAATATACAAAAATGTGTTAAGAGGACAATAACCATGTAGGAGGGGCTGGGGTTGGGCTTGGTCTGAGGGGCTAGACACATAGTCTGGAAGCTATAACTGAAGAGCAAATACAATGTTTTTTATTTAGACTGGGTGTTTATTTGGGGCGCAAGGGGGGGCTTGGGGATTGTGATTATGAGGGATGAGTTCCCCCTCCCTGTACCCCACACTTTACACACACCCTACATGTCCCCGTTCAACCTCATATCTGGTCTTAACAAAGATAAAGGTGGAGGCTGGCTGGTTCAGATTTCCTTTGACACAGCCTCCTCCACAGACCCAAGACCCCTCAGTAGCCTTATTGGCCTCCAGAGGCACAAGAGGAGGAGACCCAGTCCACAGCTGAGCCTGATTTACAGACCCCAGATTAAAGCAGCAGTCTATCAAGCCTGCACATTGATGACCTCCTAATTAAAATTTCGGGGCGGGGGCGATGGGAGCTGAGCAGCCACACCTCTCACCTAACTTTGAGCTGAGCTTTAGGGGTGGGGCCCTGGGAGGACCTGGGGAGGGCCCCCCCAGCACAAATCTCTGTCCTTGGTCCCCAAGGTGCCTTCTGCTCCCCGACAGCGGCTTCTGCCCTGCAGAGTGGGGGTAGAGGCTTGAGGCCAAGCGCCGTGCACCCCCAGTGTGGCCCGGGCATGGTGCCTTGGCCTCTGCAGGGACAGACTCCTGAGAGGCAGCGCCTCTCCTCTTCCAGGTATCTCAACTTTTACAAGCAGACGATGGACCTCCTGACAGGGAACGGCATCGTCTCCTCGCAGGAGGTGACGCTCCCCATCGTCTCCGCGGCCATCTCCCACCTGTGGCAGACGCTCTCCGAGGAGAGGAAGGCCATCCTCCTGCAGACCTGGGCGCAGAAGCACGGCGGCCTCCCAGACCTCCCGGTGGCCTGCCAGGAGCCCGTGGGTGCCGAGGGCAGTGTGAAGGACAGCGGAGTAGACAGCCAGGGGGCCAGCTGCTCGCTCGTCTCCACCCCGGAGGAGGTGAGCAACCTGTGGGATGGCGGAGGACGCAGAGGAACCACTGTCACCCTCCACCCAGGGTTTGCTTGGTCATTTTGCAAGCTTGAGGTGCCGTTTCTATTGCAGGTGGCACCACAGGCTTCTGATTTTCTCAGCATAATCTCCACGATCACCAAACAGTATTTCTTGTTAGTGTCCTGGCCTTTCCATAGGATTGCAGAGGGGAAGGTTAAAACCTGTGGGAATCTTTCAGCTGCCAAGGACTTGATTATTAAACTATGAAAAGCTGGCAGGTGGCCTATTATCCCAGTGGCTTGGAGGCTGAGGCAGGAGGATCCCAAGTTCAAAGCCAGCCTCAGAAATTTAGTGAGGCGCTGAGCAACTTAGGGAGCTCCTGTCTCAAAAATAAAATAAAATAAAAAGGGCTCAGTGGTAAAGTGCCCCTGAGTTTAATCCCCAGTGCAAAAAAACAACCAAACAACAACAACAACAAAAACATGAAGAAATGCACAACTCACGTCAGGGAGGTCACTGTTAGTTGAGCTGCTCAGTGGTGTCCCCTTGACTCAGGTTCCTTTATTCTCTCGGGTTTCTCGTCCTTCCCTTCCCTCCCCACTTCTCTCACCCTCAGTGGTCATTCTTCCTCCTGTACAACAGGTAGAGAAAGTCCCTGTGAAGGCTCTTAGTTAAGGAGGAACTTTTCCAGAAACTTCTACCATACCTCTCCTCCCCTCTCATTGGCCCAAATTGTCCAGCTTACTGAGCCGATGATAAAGGATGACACAAGCACCCATCAGGCACAGACCCAGAGAGGTGACCAGTTCCCAGAAAGCATGGCAACCACTGGGTGAAGAGGGGGCAGCCACAGCTTCCACTCTAAATGCCTTTCTCGGCTTTCCAGTAGTTAGGGTGCCACAGTCCACAGAGCGGGCACCAGGTGGTGTTAGCCTTCATCCTGTGCTGAGACAAAAGCAAGCCAACAGCAGCTCCTCCAGAGTTAGGAGATCTTCAAAAGACTGCTGCTCCCACATGGGCCCAGGCTGCCCTCACTGTGTTAGCCCAGGGACAGGCAGTTCTTTGCTCCCTGCACCTGTCCAGTGCTTTGTAGGACATTTAACATCCATGGCTATGACCCCCTTCCCCCTTGCCTTGACTATCCAAATGCGTCTCGGTGGGTGGTCTCTTTGAGGAAACCGCCATAATAGTCTCCCGTCACTCCCTCTGTGGAGTCTTAGAACCAGAGAACTTCCATGTGCTTCTGACCCTACAGTTACAGCCCTGGAATACCCCAATCCTTCTGGAAACTTCCACAGTCATGTCCAAGTCTAGAGAACAACAGAGCTGTCACCTAGTCCTACCCTCCATTTGGCAGTCCTAGTTAGAGGTGTGATTTGTCCAAACACCCAGCTCCTACTTCAGGGATTGTATCCCTCTCATTTGCTCAAATCTCTCTGTCCTTGGCCTATGTGTGGATAGTCAGCCTTTCATTATCTTTCCTGATGCTTCTCCCTGAATCACCCTTGGAGCACAGTAAGCAGGCAGGTTCCTGGCTCCCACCCCAGATCCACTGAATCAGAATTCCTGAGGGTAGGGTTCTGGGATCCCCATTTTAAACAAGCACTCCAGGTGATTGATGCACCAGGCATTATTGGCAAGACCTCCCAGAGCACATGTGCAAGTGTCAGTGCCACTGCCTTAGACCACCCCCAATCTCAAATACACCAGCTTCCCATCTGTTTTCCCCTAATGTTGGGTCCACCATGAGAGGATGTGAGAACCAAGGCAACCAGCAGC